CAGCACGAAAAGGAGCTGCCTTTATGCCGCGATGTCTTAATTTGGTATCTTTGCAAAACTTATAGAGCTGTGTAAGCTGACGTTGAGCAGCACCAAAAGCTCCGTCAGAATCGGGATGGACCTCTCCGAGCCGTTCGATACCAAACGAGGTTTCAGAAAAGGTGTTTCCTTATCGTGCGACTTTTTCAACCTGTTTCTGTTGAAAATAGTTCGAGCTGCAGAACTAAATAGAGAAGGTACCATCTTCTATAAGAGTGTATAGCTGCTGGCGTATGAGGATGATATTGATATCATCGGCCTCAACACCCGCGCCGTTAGTTCTGCTTTCTCCAGACCGGACAAGGAAGCAACGAAAGTGACGAAATATCTCCTGTCATCAAACAAACAGTCGTCGCACTCGCGACTTGGCAGTCACGTCACTGTTGACAGTCATAGCTTTGAAGTTGTAGATAATTTCGTCTATCTTGGAACCGGCGTAAACACCACCAACAATGTCAGCCTGGAAATCCAACGCAGGATAACTCTTGCCAACGGGTGCTACTTTGGACTGAGTAGGCAATTGAGAAGCAAAGTGCTCTCTCGACAAACAAAAACTTAACTCTATAAGTCGCTCATAATTCCCGACCTGCTGTATGGTGCAGAGGCTTGGACAATGTCAACAACGGATGAGTCGACGTTGCGAGTTTTCGAGAGAAAAGTTCTGCGAAAGATTTATGGTCCTTTGCTCGTTGGCCAAGGCGAATTTCGCATTCGATGGAACGATGAGCTGTACGAGATATACGACGACATTGACATAGTTCAGCGAAGTAAAAGACAGCGGCTACGCTGGCTAAGTCATGTTGTTCAGCTCTGAAAGTATTCGACGCTGTACCCGCCGGGGGAAGCAGAGGAAGAGGAAGACCTCCGTTGGAAGGACCAAGTGGAGAGGGCCTGGCTTCACTTGGAATATCTATTTGGCGCACGTAGCGAAAAGAAGAAACAACTGTCGCGCGATTGTTAACTCGGCTATAATCGCGTAAGCGATGACAATTTCGGTAAATCTTACCTTCGGAACAATCATTAGATCTCAGAAGCTTTGCACATCTTTGTTTTCCAATACGCGATGCAAGAATTCAGGCACTCGGTTTTCCGCAACTATTTCTTGTTTAGTTGTACGTTTGTTCATCTCCACTCCATGCATTAAATATTTAAAACTTTTTTTTTTGTTACTGTAGTTTTCGGTGTTCCTCTGGATTCTTGTCTGAATTTATTGTCATTGATCGGACCTCTATAATGTCCTCTTCGGCCTCAGTTTATGAGCAATGTCTGAATTCCAAACTGCAGAGACGGCGGGATATCTCTGTTTTTTACTCACTCAAAAACTCAATTATTTTTGTGAGTTCCTGTTTGCTGTTAACTATCGTAGAAAATTTAGAACAAATCGTCGATAGTAGACAGTAAAAGAAAACTAAAGCAAGTTTTTAGTAGTAAGCAAATGCCTCAGTTGTCCCTAAGTAAGCTTACTTCCTGTTCGAAAAGGGAACAGTTCTTCGGGTTCAGCTTTACACCAGCGCTAGATATCAGTTAAAACCCTTTCGTTTTTAAGATGTTCATCGAATTTTTTACCCACCAAGATGATGACATCAAATTATCCACAAAAAAAAAAAAAAAACAGGTATTCCAGTGCAATCCCTTTAATACCTCGTCCATAAGTTTTTCAATGGTAGGCGGCTGGGGCGTTGCATAATCCAAAGGGTATTACTGTAAATTACAGACCATCTCAAACGTTAGAAATTCGCATTTTCCTTGTCTTCTTTATTTACCTCCACTTGTCAATAACCACTTTTAAAATCAAATGTTGAGAAATCTTTTGTACCTGATAGCGAGACCAACGTGCTACCAATTCTATGTATGATTTCAAATTATTTTTGCTTATTGTGAATCGGAGATTACATGGTATTCGCTTGTGGCTATCTTTAGTTAAACGATTGGTTGGATTTGACAATTGCTTGATCTTCATCTGCTTTGCGTTGACGTTCAACTGAATTATTGTACTGGTTACAGTTGCGTGAGTTAATTGTACCAGAAGTAAAAATGATAAAGCATTTAATCACGAAATCATTTTTCTTACGCTCTTCTGCAGTTTTTTCCAGAACTTTCTGCATCTTTTCTTTAACATTTTCAAGTAATTGGTATACCCACATTTGACTTTCTATTTCTACTTGACGAGCTTTCTATATTCGATTCTAAAGCACAGGCACACTTTCTTGTGCCAGAGCATACAAAACGGTACCGCAAATGTCAATTTTGGGATGCTAGTATAGCGAAGCATGTGGTGTTATCTCGTATTCCATTAACGAAAGTCTCAGTTTTCGTGTTCTCGATGAACTCCACGAACTTATATGCAGTCCGTGAATAAATTTTCATGTTCTCGATGAACCCACGGATTTATGAGCATAAGCTAAGTGAGCCAACCTCTCATTCACCGCAGAATACCGCAGGGTCTCATTGGCTTTCTGGCGGCGATTTTGCAATTCGATTTCGAAGGTTTGTTTCCTGTGTTCACTACCATATCATTGTTTTAATACACCCATCAATGTTTAATAACTGCTTGTAATATCTCCGCTGCAGATATTTTTAATGTAACAAACAAGCAGCTACTTCATCTTCAGCGTTCTAATTATTTGAAGATGCCTTCTTTTTGAATTGAAGCTTAAAAGCGTGGAACGAAACTTTGCCATCAAATGATGGAGGTTTTACTTTGACGAACATCTTTTTGCCGATTTAATTGTAGGATACGATCTTTCAAATTATCCACTTCAGTTATAATTTTATCCCGCTTTCTGAAATCTGTAAGGATACTTCTGCTATTTGCGAAAACACCGGCAATATCTGTACATCCTGCTCTTTCAACTGTGAGGACACCTGGGCTGATATACGTGTATTTTGCGTTGCGAACTGCTCTTCCAATTTCGTAAAATCTTCAAAACAAAAACGAATTTTAAACAAAATTTTTACTATTAGAGTTTAAGTTTAACATAGGTTTCAATAAAATAGTGAAAATACAGTGCAGAGTGGGTGCCGCGCAAGTTCATAATCCAACAAAAACAAACACATCTAGATGTGTATAAGAGACAGGTTTAACATAGGTTTCAATAAAATAGTGAAAATACAGTGCAGAGTGGGTGCCGCGCAAGTTCATAATCCAACAAAAACAAAGAATTGCTGAGTTTGAAGAGTACTTGAGTGCTTTTTTATCGTAATGAAACCGAATTTGCGCCAGTGTGTGATAATAAAAACATGGCTTCATAATTTCACACTGGAGTCCAATCAACAGTCAGCTAATGGACTGCATAATATGAACCAGCCCTCAAGCGTGGAAAGACGAAAAAGTCGGCTGGCAAGGTTATGGCATCAGTCTCTTGGGATACAGTTGGTATAATATTCATCAATTACTTACTGAGTCAATTATGATACGAGTATATATTTTAATGAATAATTTTGGCAGACATATAGGCTAATATAAATACTTTTACACTCTTGTAGTATGCTGCTCAGATAACAACAGTTTTGTTAATATAATAGCCTTAACAGATGGCAGCGTTAATCTTCATTACCTGGGAACTTAATCAGATCGAATGTGTTTTGAACGCTTCTTTTTTGATATCGTCACAAATTGAAACAGAAATAATAATTTTGAATTAAAAGACATATGCTAAATAGTATAGTTACTTAAAGCCTCGTTTTAAAATACATCACAATGACAATGTGAGTTAAGTTTTGGATGCTTGTCTGCGTTTTAAGTGAATAATATTTGATATCTTCATGGAACTTAGTACTCTGAGGAGGTTGGTGTTGCAGATGGACTAAATTTCGACCACTGCTCAGATAAACGCGGATAGAGTACCTGTGGGTAACCAGTTTTCGGAAAGTGGGCATAACCCCAACACAAATATATCTTATCAAAATAACTTAAATTAACTTAATTCATCATACGATGTTATAATTGCTAGAATCGGATACTAATCACCCGCACCTCTTATATATAAGTTATTGTGAAAACTGCTGCATTCATTCGATAMAATCAAAGGCACATACATTTTCAGTGTAGATAATAGGGAATGACTTCATGTGAATTAGAATAACAACTGAACAAATAGTATATATACTACTATAAGAAAAAATGTTTTTCTAAATCTAAGTCTGTTTCCGGTCCGTAAGCGTAGATTCAAGACTCATCGCCAGGAATAATACGTTTTAAGATATCCTGGTAGTAGGAAAGCATTGTTTCACAGACGTTAACTCGACACTTTTTTTCGAAAAATTTTAATGGTTTTCACCGATCTTTCCGAAATTCCAACGATGTCCATAAGATCCGTAAGAAGATAAGATATCGACGAATGCACTATACTTCAGAAAGGCAAGTGTATACTAAACACTAATTATTATTTTCATAGGACAATAGGCACAGATGTCTGTGACAGTTACAGCAATCTAAAAACAAATATTTCGACAAATGGTTTTTCGAGCGAATTTTATTGTAAAAAGGCTTACTATTTCTTTCTCATAGTAGTATACACATATATATCCATTAATTCTTTAATTTTGGCATATATTTATTCATATAATTCATTTCAATTCAATAGGATGTTTGTCGGTGTTGTGTATTTTACTCCAAGAGAATGTCGCGGCATGTGGAATCTCAAACAACGGAGAATGATTTATTTATTGTTTCAGCCGAATGGTGTTTTGCAATCAATAACATCGACTATATTAGACAAAGTTTACCTACATTCATTACGGTTTGTAAATTTCTTCAATTAAAATTTGTACATAAATTCATTTAATTTCTATAATATTACTTTATTGTAGGAGCTAGAAATAGATGGTCTTATAAAAAAAATCAGTGATTTCCGGACCAACCTCGACGCAGATCGCTGTGCCTCCACGATAAATAGTTTAATTGAAAATGCATTGGATACTCAAAAAAATCAAATTTTAGAACTCATTGATATTGTTGGCAGGAAAATGGCTCCTTCGATTAAACGATTTCTAGCGGAAGGTGCTGAAGTTTTATATGAAAATTCCAATTCCATGGAAAAGCTCATGATGTATATGGAATCATCTTTAAAAACATTATATAATACCTTAAATGAAGTTAACTTTGCGCGGATCTTAGATGCTATTTGGATCGAACTTTCCGTTGTGATGTACGATCTTATACAATCAAATTTAGATGTGAGTAGGACAAAATATATATTTTTTATATTAAGCGCCATTCCCTTGTTTTGAAAACTTTACTTGTGTTTGCGAGAATATTAATATATTGTATTTATATAATAACACCTGAATTAAATTAGTTCTTTATCCCTTGCTGATTTTAGAAAAACTCGCGGTTATTATACCCTAAAAGTCACTAAACACTAGTCACAGGTCTTATAAAAACGCTCTTTACTTATATATTTGAGATTGGCTGACTTCTGACATTGCATCATGTTTAAAACGCATAAACCTGCAGTCGATGTACAGTGACTGAGAAAGTCGCGCATCACAAATAAAGTTGAAGCTTTTTTACATATTCTTATATTACGTGGGCGGAGTCAGATTGATAAGCTTTTTATTAATTTATACTAAATTTGCATTCAATTCAGAAGATAAGGAAAAAAGGACAAATGATCTCAATATACATATATACATGTATAGATACAGGGTGGATGATGAAAGCCGCTACAAAAAAAAAATTAAATAACTTTCTATTTAATGATCTGGATAATTTTTTATTTATTTTGCAGATTGACTTTTATATTTAACAAAAATGGATAACTGGGCCACTGAAACAAGAATTTGGATTGTCCGCCGCTATCACGCACTGGAGTCCGTAGTTTCGGTTCAAAGAGAATGTAGGCGCACGTTTGGCGGCAATTCTCCGAGCAGATGGACCATAATGAAACTTGTAAACAATTTTGCCTTCCCATGCTCGACAACAGAAGACCTTACCATCGAAACCCTTCACTTCGAACGGAGAAAACAATCGCTGCTGTAGCTGCTACCATACAAAACAATTCACGTGTTTTGACAAGAAGCTTATCTGCTCAAATGGGTGTAAGCAGTCATTACAGTCAATTATGCACAAAGATTTGGACTTATTCCCATATAAAATTCAAATGGGCAATAAACTGAACTGCAGACTTGCCGATTCGCTTGGAATTTTGCCAGAAGATGCTTCAAATGGTGGAAGAGGATGGAAAAATGTTGAAATGTCTTTTCATGTCTGACGAGGCCCATTTCGATATAAGCGGCAACATAAACAAACAACATTGTCCAATATGGAGGGTTTCCAACCCACACATACTCATGAGACGGAATTGCATACACTTCGTGTCACAGTGCGGTGTGCAGTTTCATCACGCTGCATTGTCGGGCTCTACTTCTTCGAAGAAAACCGTCACACCGTTACGGTTACTTGAGCATGTTGAGAGAGTTTTTCTATCCAGAATTACGCCGAATGAGAATTTCTTTCAACTCTGTGTGGTTTCACCAAGACGGTGCAGCTCCTCACATAGCCCAACCTGTTATGACAGAATTGCGACGAAAATTTCCCAATTAACTGATCCAGAAACTCCACATTCCGTTGGCCACCCAGGTGGCCTGACCTTACCTGACTTTTTCTTGTGGGGTTATTGCAAACAGGAAGTCTACAAAGCAAAACCAACAAATTTTAATGAACTAATGCAATCCATTCGAGAAACAATTGCGGCTATTACTGTCTCAACTCTCCAATCAGTAATGAACAACATTTTGGTAAGATGCCGCACATACATCAACGAGCAGGGGGCATTTAAATTCCATTGTTTTTAAAACTAATTAAACTATATTTAATAAAATTTAATGAGCTTTAACATGAATAAAAGAAAAATGAATTCCATACACTGAAAAAAAAAAATTATTTCAGTTTCTTAATGTAGCAAAATTCATCAGCCACCCTGTATATATTCCTATACATAAATTTAACCAATATTTGTGCTTCTGTTCTCGATAAAATGGGAGGAACTATCACTATTTTATCATTTTTATCTTTACACGCTCGTAAATTTTTTGCGAAATTAAACTTTGCAGTGAAAGTGTTCTACWGTATAACGTTAAATTATACAACGTATAGTTTTCAATGTTGTTTTATCTATTTATTTAGTTAAGTCTATGAACATTAATTCTTACAGACTAATGGAGAATTACATGCAAATTAGAATTCTAAAAYAATTACAATTACATTAGTAGATAACTTAAACTAAAAAACAGAATGTAGGATATTAATGAAGGATACCCTAGAGTGAGAAAAATCAAGAAGAAMTTTCCTGGAAATCGAGTTAAACTCACGCATAGCACGCTTGAGAAGAGCGTATTCAGCAAAGTTAGTACTTTCAATTTTATAATAAAATGGGGAAATAGATCTGAGAGAACGTTGAGGAGTATTGAAGCTAATTTTCCCTAATATATAGGGACAGTCAATACCTCCATTAATAACATTGAAAACAAATGAAAGGCAGAGAGCCAGTAGCTTAAGATGTAAAATCAATAAACGAGATGTATACGATGGTATTGGGTCAACGAAATTTAAGGAGCGGAGAGCAAATTTAAGAAAAATCTTTTGAACACGCTCGATGCTATTAATTGACGATATACAATATGGTCTCCAGATAAACACTGCATACTCCAAAATGGACCGAAGAAAACATGTATACAATAGTTTCAACGTGTAGGGGTCGGAAAAATTTATAGCATTTCGACGGACAAAGCCGAGCACAGAGAATGATTTAGAAGTAATATAGTTAATGTGATTACTGAAAGCAAATCTGTTGTCAAAGATTACCCGAAGATCTTTGATTTCAGTAACGCATTTTAGGACGCAATTAGAAATATTGTAACTTGTGGATAAGATGTCATGTTCCCTACCATAAGAGATCTGAGAGCATTTATCTAGATTCAGAAAAAGCTTCGATTTCMGGCACCAATCATAAAAGGTATCAATATCACATTGAAGTTTGAATACATCTTGTCGGTTTTTGATTATTGCAAAAATTTTGAAGTCCTCTGCATATAACAGAAAGTTAGCGAAAGAGAAGCAACAGGAAGTGTCATTGATAAACAGCACAAAGAGAAGTGGACCCAAGACGCTTCCTTGTGGTACTCCTGAAGACGCAATAAATGTATCATATGACACTCCATCGTCTATTGTGCAGATATAATTTAATCCACTGCAAGAAAACCGAGTGAGACACTAAAGGTAATAATTTCTTAATTAGAATATTGTGTGAAACTTTATCAAAGGCTTTAGAGAAAACTGTGTAGACACAGTCTACCTGAAATCCAGCGGAGAATGCAGACATACAATAACCGCTAAAAACCGCTAAGCTTGATACAGTGAGCGCCCAGAGACAAACCGATGCTGATTGACATCAATTATTGATGTTACTGCAAAAAAAGTAATTTATTTTTAACAGAACACTCCAAAACTTTCGAGATAGTAGAAAGTTTAGAAATAGGCCTGTAATTGGAGACTAGATCCTCTCACGGAGGAGAGAGACTTATTGAAGATATCTTCTCATATACCAAKGCAGTACAATTTTTTATAAGTATAGGCGGAAGCCCATCCAAATCCAATTTGGGAGAAGACTTAATATCATAAATATCCTTGGCAATATCATCCTGTGAAAGACACAGTGTGACAAAATTTATGGATGGGAAATTATTAGCCGAAAGAGTGGAACTAGTACCAGAATCATTGTGAACATAATTCGATTTAAAAAGTTCAGCAAACAAGTTGGAGATGTCGCCATGAGTGCATGTAGACTTATCACCCCAGCGTAAAGCAGAGGGATTGGCCGAACACGCTCTTCTAGAATGTACAAAGTTCCAAAAGAACTTAGGGTTCGACTTAATTGTAGACTCCGTACTATTAATGAACCTTTTATAGAGTAACTTATCCAATTTATTAAACAGTTTTATCAGAGAATATGAAGTAATATAGTAATATATATATATGCGCATCATGGCAAATGACAAAATTTCAGTTTCGGGTGCGGGCGGTAAGCAACAGGGGGAATTTGGTTAGCAGAACTTGAACAACGGAATTATGTTAAATTTCATATTCTTTACATTGCGAAAATATGCATGAAGTTGAACTTTTGGAACGTCGTATTTCAAAAGAATTTTAGCATTATATTGACTTTTGTTTTTGAATATGCTCCAGTTAGAGCATATGTGAATATGTTAATATGCGATTGATCTTCTACGTGAATGGATGTATGCTCCCTTGCGCTTGAAACAAATTTTGATTTTTGTTTRTATACATATCTATGCATATTTTGACATGGTTGATCCCAATTTAAAATTTTTACAAATATTTTTACGTGGCTTGTTCCAAATAAACTTATTTGTATACATACTCCAAATTATTAATAGTTTTTGTATTTACATTGAAATTGCAACGGTATGGCCGCAATTCAAAACACTACAAGGACAAATAAAAATAGTGCACGGTCGGGAATTAAATGTTGTGTGCGCAGTTGCCAAAAATCAAAAAGAATATGTCCCAATTTAAAATTATTTAAATTTCCCGCTGCCGATCTTATTTTCGGTCAAATTTGGCGGGAAAAATGTAATGTTGCAAATGAAGATTATGACAAAAAACTTTATATTTGTCATAATCACTTCAGCAGCACGTTCATCGGGAAAAAATTTTTAAAAAGTGATGCAATTCCAACATTAAATTTGGATGAAGATCATTTATTTTCTGAAG